TTTTCTCTGAGCGGCTTTTGAGCCACAGGATCCGTACTGCGCTTAGGGTCACCCCTTTGTCCATTTTCTTGATTTATTCGTGCATAGCACTTCTCGTATGAGTGACCCATCTTCTTGCAAAAAGTGCATTGTATGCTCGAACGTGTACCCCTTCGGGTACTTGACGCGACCTCCCTTCGGTGGTCTTCCACGGATTCAAACAAGCGCTGCAGCTTGCTGCAAGTTTCTGCTTGCTGTTGTACTAAACATCCAACAGCAGCAGAGAGTTGCTGTTGGCTTTCAGTCAACCCAACCAGCAACTCATGTTCGCTCTTACTGCGTTTTTGAGCAGCAGCCACATTGCCAACCGCAGGGCATGACCAGTCGTCTGACTGAGTGTGATCTGTAGATTCCACGTCCCGCAAGAATTCCAATGCAATTTCACGGAATGCGTAAAATGGCATCACTGCATTATCATGGCTAAGTCTTCTCAGCTCTCGCTTTGTGGAGGCCTCTCGTGCCCCTCCTACAAATTGCTCTCTGAGGGCGTTCGCGCGCAACTGTCGCAGCGCTTCCCTTTCTTTAGGGCCTGCCGCCAACTCCATGCGATCATAGATGCGCATCAACGACCGACTGAACTCAGTTAGTGTTTCTCCTTCCAACTGAGTCCTAGCATAAAAGGTGCTATTCAAGGATCTAAGTGATTCAATTGCCCCAAACCTAAGTGTCAACCGCGCAGCTAGCTTCACAACAGTATCACGCTCCCCCTTAGGACAACACAACACCTCCTCTTTTGCTGGACCCCCCAGATGGTCTAGGGCCACATCTACTTGTTCTTTTTCAGTTAGACCCAAGGGTCGCAAGTATGCATCAAGATCGCTCAACCATCCCCCTAAAGTGGGATCACCCGACCTCTTTGGTTGGCCGCAAAACTTTGCTAATTTTATAGTTGGAGTGCGCTTTATCTGGAGGTTTCCAAACGCTCCAGCTAGTGTATCAGCTAGCGCCTTGTGAGACTTAGCAATAATATCAGATAATTCCTCAGTGGTGGCCATATTGTTCCACCGGCAATGTCAAACAGCAATAAATTGAAATAGCTCCAATGGAACAAAAAATATACGCATGCAGAGTGCGTTGTGCGCGAGACACCGCGTAATCGCACCAGAATCCCTACGCAGGATGCACCGAAATAAGGGCACAAAAGCCCATCAGCAAAATCACAGCACTTAATGTTGCGAGTCACGTGATAGGAGTTGGTGCAGGCAGCCTATAGCTGCAATAAGAAACTACAAAAAAAATTAGTATAGTGCCAACAGACACTTTTAGGCTATTCGACAGCTGACCAGAATCAATCGGTTTAAAAACCAGTCATATTTACGACATGGGTCACAACAATAAGAGATAGCCTACAATAATAACATGTGCTCTGACAAAATGTCAGAACATGTGGTTCTACAAGAAAATCAATATCAACCCTAAAAGTTATGTGGTCACATGTGTTAGGTTCATTAACCAATATAAAAGCATCACAGTAGGTAAAAGTTACCAGCGTACAATTATGCACAAAACATTTTCAAAATACGTGTGTACTTTATGGGCCACCATACTTTTAGAATTAAACACAATTAGTGCACTAGCTATGTACACATGTACACTAATAATCTACAAAAATTACTCGAAATCAGGTCTCTTCATGCAAGTCGGGGGTTTCCAATAATACTATAATTTCCAAAAATGAAAGCTAGGTTGGTCGCGTGGAAATGGCCTCCATCCTGTCTACGACGCCATATTTCTGTAGTGGTCGGCCCTGCTGTCTTATTCAGAGGGGGGAGACTCGTCCACCAGTTAAGGAGGATGGGAGGCAATCACCAAGCGTGGACAATCATCATCGGTCTCTGTCATTAGTTGATTGGTTGATTTATTGATGATCCAGTTGAGATACAATATTTCAATGGAATATAAAAACCCTGTACAATGAAATAGAAAAGCAGACGCTGTGTATTAAAGTTTGCATGTCACAGCGTACACACTATACGTACAATACACGTACATGTACCTTCAGTTTGTTTACAATTTCGGTACAAAATGTGTCGAAAGAAATGCCTTAAATTCTCACCCCGACGTCTTCAAATCTTTCCTTAAATGACTCTAAAAGCAGCTATACAGCACTTCACTTCAGTTGGTGGGCTGTTCAGATATGGGCCTTCAGATTTTAGCTCGCAAAAGATGGTTTTTGATGTGAATTTGGCTCACATCATGCAACGGCATGGTCCGAAGAAAAAGGAACAGGACGTGTCAATCCTGCACGTAGGCCACTTACTTCCGGAAAAGCCCGAAGAAGTCCGAAGCACAAAAACCCAGATTTACTTTAGTAAAATATCATATTTCAGGAGTGATCTAATATTATGAGAAAACTATAAATGTATTTTGCCAACTTATACATGCCCAATAAAATAGTAAGAATAAAGTTCGAGAAATTATAAGAACGTTTTTGTTGTAACTATGTAGTTGCCGAACGCACTTAGCAACCACGAGTCAGTGACGTCATCATGCTTATGGCGCGTACGTAACTTCTTAAAGGGGAATTCCCAGATCCCTACATTACATTATGGCAAGCCTCGGTTTAATACCTCACGCGTTTGGTCTCTGTATGTGTTGACTTCAACAACAGAAAATTCTTTCGGTAAAAAAACCTCTGTCCTCAAGAGTTTCCATTAAACATAGTCACCAGAATATTCTAAGATATTCTAAGCACATGGCATTTTGGGGCGTTGAATTCCATTTGCCATTTATTTTTGCCATGCGGTGAGTGCATCAAGATCAAGATCATCGTCCTCCAGTCTGGACCAGCTATCGTTCTTGTGGGGTACCTCCCATTGTTCTGGTACCCATAAAGCCCGGTTCATACTCCACGCGAATGCGAATGCGAAGCAAATTTGACGTCATGAAACATTCGCTGCGAAAAATTCGCCCGAGTTGAAATGTGTTCAACTTTTGCGAATTCGCAGTGCAAATACTCTCCATGACGTCACAAATTCGCGTTCACTTTCGCTTTCGTGCCGAGTATGAACCGGGCTTAAGGCAGTGTTTATACGTTCACACCGTACCTACACATCCCACCCCGGCTTTTCGAAAGCCCTCACCCCCCCCCCCCCCCAAAAAAATGCCGCCAATGTTAGTCAGAAGTTTTTGTTCTAAGTAAGTAAGCACACATTCTTTTCCGTTTCATTCTCACGTAATGTATCGACATAACTTTTTACCAAGTTTGACGTATACGGGATTGTAATTGTACATCCAGTACAGCAACATTGGAAATGAAACGAGAGAACTGATCAGCCCTCGAGGAAAATTGCATCACCGGAATTAGGAACGAAACGTAAGCTACGATTTTCAATCGGGGATATCCAACTTAATAGGAAAAGCAGATATCTATTTGTCGAAGTCGGAATCTGTCAAATCCTTGCTGGAGAAAAACTCTAGCTGCTGTAAACGATACGTGTGTGTGTCATCTCTGCAATGTATCATGATTGACAGATCATGCATTTGATATGACACATCAGAGTAGATCAGACGAATATTAGAAGCGTAGTTTATGATGAGACCTCCGGCCAACTTGAACATTTTGCTGAAAGATGAGTCGTTGAGTTTCCGCTGCTTGATATATTAAAATTGGTTCGAAATTTCTCAATTATGTTTTATGAGACAAAAAGCGGTTGGGTTTTGCATTTTGTTCTCCCGTTCTTTGAAATGGAAATGGACATTACTTCCTGTCATCGGTAACAGCTAGTTATGAAATCTACTGCTGTTTCCTTTTTTCTGAGGATTCAGGCGCCTCCAAGGGTTTTTATCTAATGAACCTCAATTTCGTGATAAACTGTGTCATGTACGGAAATTTGGCGTTACATTTGACTGTACATGTACTTCCATTTCGCCGGAAGGTGTAACACGACGCATCACTTTTTGCAAAGTGCATTTGCGATCGATTCCGAGCACAGCTGAAGACGCGGGCATTCTGAGTGTGGGCTGATGTTGGATGAGAATAGATCATCACCCTCGCGAGATTTCCTCTAGTGAAGTCGGGTGGCAAAATGTCGTGAACAAGGCACTGTTGTGCAAGTCAGCAGTCAAGTAAATTATGGAAGTTAGGAAACATTTTCTTTTTGTGTGTTCATACAATAACACATGAGGATTCCGGCCTAACATCACGACCGTACTGCTTGGCAGTCAAAAAAAATACTCATATTTACAATAAATCACGTCCAAGGATGGATGAGAATAGTAATCACCCATTTTCTTTCAAAGCAGTGTAACAGCTCTGCCAGTGAACAGAGGTGTCGAAACGGGTGTGTTTTCCTTTAAACAGATTTATGAGGCCATATAAAAGGGAAGATGGGTCAATTCAAACAGGTTTTTGACACATTAATCCAATCTGACGCCGATTGAAATGTGAGTTTAGAAAAAGTTATTTTACAAAATGGAATACATTTATGTACAAAATAAACAGTTACATAAACTGCTATATCAAACTAATAACTACATGTATTAGACATCCAAAAGTCTCATTTGAAACCAATTACCAGGTAATCAAAAAGAGAGTGGTGAAGGGGAATGGTCAGACAGACGGGGGCAACAGGTCTCATCAGTACCACGTAACCATTGCTAATTTCATTGGGGAAACTCAAAATGGGGGACTTTTGAGACGCTTGGTGGCAGCAGAAATACCAGTCCTGTTACATCACGTTTAAGCTTATGTGCTCGTGTTAAATTTGACGCAAACAATAAAAAGGGATCGGGTCTTGAACGCTCCCATTTTTCTGATGGTCATACAATATGGTCATACAATATTATATCATTAATGATCATATTACAGTATGGCAAGCCTCGGTTTAATACCTCATGCATTAGGCCTCTGTATGAAAATTCAGAAAATTCTTTCAGTAAAAAAACCTCTGTCCCTCAAGAGTTTCCATTAAACATAGTCACCAGAATTTCGTCCTGTTTGTCTCCCCTGATGTTTATAGGTGTTCACGATTGGGGCGGTGTCAATCACAGACAAGGTAGCAGTATTCTCCAACTACGGCACCTGTGTGGATGTCTTCGCTCCGGGTGTGATGATCCGGAGTGCGGGGATCAACTCGGACCACGCGTATGTGTCGATGAGCGGTACTTCCATGGCCTGCCCACACGCCGCCGGTGAGTCTAGGCAGACTGCGAATTTTCTTTTCCCAAACTACATCCACATACAGGGTTGTTTAGCGCCCTCTACGATACTTTTAAGATACGTTGGCAGGTATTTATTTTTTTCCCCCAGAATAAGTCGAGCAGTGTTATAGCTCAGTCGATAACGTCGTGATTTTTCACCGCGAGGTTATGGGTTCGTGGTTCGTGTCACAGTTTTGTATCCGATTTTTTTTCTTTTCTTATCTGAGGCTGATCTTTTTTAAAGGGAAATAAAGTCGGAATTTCATTAAGTGCGAATTCATTTCTTTTTTTTCAATTGTATATTTTCTTCTCAGTTTTCATAGAAGTAAAGTCCCAAACGTCATAGCGTACAACCCATGCGGATGTCGTTGGGGGGGGGGGGGATTCGCAGGTCGGCATTGCTAGTCAACACAAATACCCAAAAATCTAAGAAGTGAAAATCTAAGATGTACCGAAGTGCTATTTTCGAATTTCAAAACGAAAAAAATATTTAAAAATTATTTATATTTTCCTTGCTTGTATGAGAATCGAACGTCAAAAAAACGGTGCCACATTTCGATATGAAATACCGATTTTAATAAAAATGTCGATTTTTTGTCAGCCAGATAATAATTCATTTCCGCTATCGCAGAATAGACTGGTTTCCGCCCCTATGTAGTTAGGGACCGGGAGAGGGTCTATTCGCAAGGTGGTTCTTCTGTGCACAAGTTATATGCCATTGAAGAAAGGAGCAGACGCACCCCTTTCTTTTTAACAAATAAACCAAGCTAATTAATCCAGTCGACGATCGAACTCCATTTTTTTTCTGACATCAACACAAATATTAATCAGTTGGCGTCTTTGAAAGGTTGGCCTCATCTTCGGCTTTGTTTTATCTCTTGCTTCACTTAAGAAACTTTATTTTACAAACCAAATGGCAATATACTATATACCCTTAACACAGGCCTCCCAATACAAGAATTGATATTCTTCAGTAAACATGGACCTACCATGAGCGGGGATTCCAAAATCAGGGGCTCCAATCCCCTGACGCCGACACTGAAGAAGAAGCCGACGATTCGAGGGGGAGCCTCATAATCTTCTTTTTGCCTTCTCTTCTATGGTGCCCATTACATACGCTCACTTTCATCTATTTTCATTGGCAGGCGCTGCCGCGGTCAAGCTCGCCAAAAAACGCAGCATGACCGTGGAGGAGCTGGAGCACGCCCTCATCGACGACGCCACACAAAACATCGTACTATCGCAGAGAGAACAATCTCCCAACCGCCTTCTGTATGTTCCATCCAATGATGCTTCGCGACGGAACAATAAAAAATAAGCCATTTTGTGGCTAATGAGGGCGCTGTTACGACGCGATTTTCTGGTACCAACAGTAGAATATTCCTTTGCACTCTAACAACATCCGGGTCAGATTGACCTCGACCCTTTTCCTTTTATTTTTATTTTATTTTATTTATTTCGACAACAACAGCGCAATCGCCAGAACAGGATTGATATGACTTGGTAGAAGATGTGGAAGGAAATTACAATTTTGGAGGTGGGAGGAAAACCCCAGAATGATATTCTCGGGAAAACCCACGGAATCAGTTAGGGACTGAAAACCCAATCCACATATTGACCCAGGCGGGATTCGAACCCGGGTCACAGCGGTGGAAGGCGAGGAAAGTACCGCTACGCCAACCTGATCCCAGATCCGGGTCAAAGATGAAACTTTTCCGGGTCAAAATGATGACACTTTTATGGATCTACATGATGACACATTTTTTAGTATTTTGACCCGGAAAGGTGTCATTTGATCCGGAAAAGTGTCACTTTTGACCTTGAAAATCGTTGAGCCAAATAGAACCCGGATTCCGGATCAATCTGTCCCGGATCGTGCTTTTAGAGTGTATTAAAGCAATTTCGCAACAATTATTCCTTCTAAAAATTGAAGATTATAACAAATATATGACTTTTGTTTTTATTAGAGCAACAACATCAATAGCCTTGGATGCACGTCCGTACATTATAACCCCAAATGCGCCCTCCTTTTTGATCAAAACTATGGCCCAGTAGGCTGTGTCCAAATTACTTGGCTGCGGCTGGGAATTACACACGAGTCTGTAGTAGCGGCTGCAGCCACTTCTCATAGCCCCGTGTGTGATTTCAAGCCGTATAACCACTAATTCGGAAAAGGCCTGCGTGTGTTCGGTGCAACGACTGGGCGCATGTGCACGGTGAGATTCGACGATTTTCAATTCGGGGTAGACCTATAGTAAAATATATCAGATGAAATGTACACCTGTCTGTTGACGTTGGGCAATGTTAACCGACTGTGCAATTTAAAGTTTTTCATGTAATTATAAAGCGAGATGGAAGTTTATTTCACACAAAAGTGAATTATAATTATTATTTTTATAGTGATGTAGCTTCGGTTTGCGGTAATACCATTGGTGGTTGTGTGTACTTTCGCTCAGTAGATTTAGTTGCGATAAGAACTGTCATGCTAGTTCAAAAAAGGACGTTGTCCTGCTTATTATATACTTTCGCTAAGCACATTGGAAGGCTTTCGCTCAGTAGATTTAGTTCCGATAAGAACTGTCCTGCAAGTTCAAAAAAAGGAAGTTGTCCTGCTTATTATGTACTTTCGCTAAGTACATTGGAAGGCTTTCGCTCAGTAGATTTAGTTCCGATAAGAACTGTCCTGCTAGTTCAAAAAACGGAAGTTGTCCTGCTTATTATGTACTTTCGCTAAGAACATTTGAAGGCTTTCGCTCAGTAAGAACTGTCCTGCTAGTTCAAAAAATGGAAGTTGTCCTGCTTAGTATGTACTTTCGCTAAGTACATTGGAAGGCGGTGGGATTTCTCGCAATTGTCTTCACTGAGGCTGAGTGAGATAAGTTTGGTCGCAACGTTTCCACCAGTCTGCTCTAGTCATCGTCAGGAGACTGAGGAGAGTTGAAGATGCTGCTCCTTCAGTAGGCTGTGCTAGGATTGGGAGTGTGAATGGGAAGTCCTGCTCGCTCAGGTGTGTCAACTGTTGTGGTTGGTGCTTGTGTTGATGGATTCTGATTGGTTGTCTGCTGGGCGTTGTGTGTTAGAGTGGGATGCCGGTCGAAACGTTGAGACCAAACTTATCTCACTCAGCCTCAGTGAAGATAATCGCGAGAAGTCCCTCCGCTGAACGCACGAGTTTACACTGAATATGTCTATTACGATATACCAGACAATATTACGCATCGTCTTACCAGCCCTTGAGGGCCTTGTGTCGGTATAAGCCGCATGCACGTGTCACAACGGTTGCATAAAGGCTCACATTTAATCGTTGTGTGGTCATTAATAGAGAGCTCGGTAGATTGTATACAACAATCCGTGAACATTCACTCGGAACCAGAAATAATAAAACAGTGCCAGAGAAAAGGCTTCAATTATTGTTTCCATTTCTTACCTTTGTCGTGGTATATCGCATGATTTCAAATTTCTAACAGTTCAAGGTAGAGGCCAGGCGCGGTTCTATAGAGCCTATACTGGGGAGGGGGACTAGCAGGGGTGGATCCAGACATTTTTGCAGGGAAGCGTGCTAAAATGTAGACCGGTTAGTTTCTCTGGACACTTAGGCCTCCGAAAAATGTACCATATTTTCAATGGGGATCGCTGATAACATCCTACAGTCATGCACACTATATTACCCAACAGCGTACAAATTCCCCCTGCTCAAGACTATTTGTTTAGGGGAGACCGTTTGCATGTGACGTCACCTTCTAATATTTTGCTACTTCCATTTTTATGGATTCTTTTTCTGGAGGGCTAGATAAAATTTGGGAGCAGCTAAAGCCCCCCCCCCCCCCACCAGAACCGCGCCTATAGTAGAGGCACTGACAAACTGAATGAGAGGATTGTATGCTGGCACCGGACGGTCATATCGTCACATGACCGTACACTCTCAAAACGCCTGTTAAAGTTTGGTTGGTTAAAACAGTTGGTTCAAATTTTAACCAACATTGCGTACATTTTCGCCCAACGTTTTCCTAACGTTTGGCATTATGTTGCCCAACGTTTGGTATTTTTACAACTGTTGAGCTGTTCACCTGGTTAACAACAGTTGGTTAAGAATTAGTCGTTTTACCCAACGCTGGTTAAATTTACCCAGATTTTAACCAGCGTTTAGAGAGTGTAATACAATACCTTAATTGTCTCATTGTGTTGACAATATCGTGACTCATTGCATTGACCTTAAAAGGCACTTCTGTTACCTTATCTCTCCCTCAAAAAAGCTAGATAATAATGCGTTTTTATAAAGCACACGTATCAACCAGTATTGGTGCTTAAGGCACTACATCATTATTCTCAGCGTGTTTAAAAAATCCTGTAAATCAATCTTCACATAAAGTTTATTAACAGTTTTGGTCTACACAACAGACAATTCAAGTCATGGTGCATGTATGGCTTGCATGACATTGTCACGATTTTGGAAAAAAAACTCAATTCTTTCTTTGGCTATCAAATTTGTATAAGATTTAATATTTCTTACACATAACAGGATCCATCTTGAACTAGTACTCATGCTGCAGCGGCGCTATTAAGAGCAATTAAGAGAGTTCCTCGGTTCTACGATGACCAGGCACAAATCCATTCTTTACTTTCTTTCAGCACACTGGAGTGTCCGTATTTGGGTTAACAACCTGAAAGAGTACCCGGCGAGTCAATTCAGCGGGGAACAGCGCGCGGTTGAACGGCGTAAAGCGAGGCAAAAGACCGCTCAAACACTCTCGAGCTAATCGGTACAAGCACCTTAGGTTACAAACACGAGACTTTCGGCGAATTGCTTACGTACTAAAGGGACTAGATCTAAGTATTGTTGCTGTACTTGAACGGGCGCTTGTTTGTATTACTTATTTCAGATAAGCAACATCTGTTCGCTGTTCTTTTTAGCACAAACGTACGAATTTTCGATTGCTGTATTGATTTACGATATACATGTATGAGATGTTATGTTCTTTCTGTACGTACACAGAAATCTGAAAATTCTCTGATAGTAGGCTATGATAGTTTACGTATATCGGTTTCAAAGAGCGTTCTTTATCATTTGAAATCATATCAATGTCGAAGTGATTCACGATGATACCGAACCTGGCCTGTATCCATGGGCGTCGCGAGGGGGGGGGGGGGGCAAGGCCTCCCTCACCACCACCTCGGAAAAGCAACGTCCGCAGGGGTGTCAACGGGGGTGGGGTAGGCAAATCCCCCCCCCCCCCCGTCCACCCTCGAAAAAAAATAATAATTTGAGAATATGCTGGAGAAAGTACAAGGATTTTGAGAGGATTGCCCCCCCCCCCCAGAAAAATCCTGGCGAAGCCCATGCCACTATTCGAGTATGAATACAGAAATAGAAGAAGCGAAAGTAACTGTGGTTTAATGTAGATCTACATGTTGTTTTGGGGGGCACATAATTGTAGTACTTTGGAAGCGACTGGGCTTACCCCTTGGGCTCAAGAAACCGTCGTGGATAATCGCCTTTGCACATTCACAAACAGTCATTAACCACAAGTTAAGGACTAGCAAAGTTTAAGATGTGTTCACCTTTAAATCGAAGGCAACGGAATTCAAATCCTGGAAGAAACTTACAGAAAACCAGAGAACCGAGAATTTATGGGGGTCATGTAACAGTCACTCCAGCATAAAGCAGGCTTGTCTAAACACTCCAAGGGTAACCCTAGTCCCCTTTGAAAAGTGTAAAAAAAAAAATTGCAATAATAACAAAATGGGAAAACGCAAGAAAATACCAGGTGAATCGAGAGCAATTTATTCCGTGGATTTCAATGCATTTTCTCGCAATAAAAACAACATTGGGTGGGTCCAGGGACACGCTTATCTAAACACATTTGAAGGAGAACCTAAATTCAATAGAACGGCTCGTCCGTCGAAAGATGTTCGACACCCGGGAGTATACGAACTATTTAGGGGAAAAGAAACTCGAATTTCCAGGCAAGCGTGGCTAGCGGGGTAATGTGTTGATGCAACGCCGAAACAGGTCGGGAACATTTTAGTTGTACAAACAACATGAGTGGAACAGGCATTACATCGTTTTCCCCCTTTTACAGGTTTTCAGAATTGACATCGGTTGTTTTAACTTGGAAAATATAGGAGGCATAATAAGTTCCGGAGAAAAAAAAACTTTCGGTGATACTACAAACATTTCTGAGTTAAATAACACCGAGAAAAAAATATTTATCACGAGACACTCGTTTGAGTGACGATATGTAAATTGAACTCCGCAGTGTTATTACTTCACGTTATTAGCTTTCCAAATAGTCAGTGAAAAAGGCGCACGAACGGTAAGTGACATATTAAAATGGAATCAATACTTTGAATTAGCAGCAACTCGATCCTTATTTCAACAGTATTCTTGCGGATCAATAAATCATCTTTTGTGTTTATAACACGGTAATTTTTTCTTGAGACGGCTAACTGCTTGTTTTCTTTTCGTCAAAATGTCCTTAGTTGTTCGTTAGCTGTGAGAAATCCTTAAGTCTGCGATATCTGCCGGATAATGGCTCTCCACTCTTCCTTGTCCCCCCAAAGCAGGTAGTTCTTATT